AGAATTATATATTTTTATTTAGTGGCGGAAACGGGCTTCCATAAAACTGGGTTTGATTAAAATCTTCTGTTCATTTTTTAGAGACTAGCTTTGTTGGTGAAAATATGAAATAGTCAATAATGAAAGTCAATAATCTCTTTGTCGTATTTTGCTCAGAAATGCTTTATGTTGTTCATTGTCGCTGTACAAAAAAAAACAACAGTGTGAGCTGGAGAATGTGTGACACTAAAAATCATGAACGATTGTATTTCTGGCATAAAACAGTCTCTAAAACACTGTTGTGTTGCTTTTCCTTTTATGGCAGCACTATTACACAATTTCCCATTACTTAGTTAACATGTACTGCAACTGAATATTGGCAAATCACGTTTGACAGTAATTTCGTATGCATCAAACTGTGAACGTGTTCTCAGAAATCCTCACAGAATAAATGAAACTGCATAACTGCAATTACGGTAAGATGAACAATCTGCGTTACTTTTTATAGCCTATATATTTTTCAGCTATTGATTATATTTTATTTGGGTATGAATAAAACAATGAATATTACTCCAAAAAGAATCTGGACCCTTTGACATGCATAAACGAGAATATAAATAATGTCCTAATAAACATTCATATGCATTTCTCATCCTTCAGATGGTTTTGTGGGCGCATAGGCTATTTGAATATCTTGTCCTTATAACTGGAATTTATAATGGTATGTTCTTATTTACTCTATTTCTACAATCCTATATGAATTGTTGGGCAATTAATCAACATGTTTCATAAATAGATCACAGACCACATACAAAGTTTCACAGTAAAAGCTGTTCACAAATGAACTATAGCCTACATTATAATAAACTAAGTTCTGATGCAATGCAACTGTGCTTAACAGTCAAAGCCTGGACTTACCATTACAACATAGACATTAATATGGACTGGACAACAGCTCGTCAGTGGTGTCAAAAGCATTTCACTGATATGGTGGCCATCCAAAACCAGGCAGAAGTTGAATACCTCAACCAGGTTCTACCTTTCAATCAAGCATACTACTGGATCGGCATTAGGAAGATTGACGACTACTGGACGTGGGTTGGGACCAAAAAGCGCTTGGACCCTGAAGCCGCAAACTGGGCGGAAAATGAACCAAATAACAAGGGATCTGGACAAGACTGTGTAGAGATCTACATTAAGAGACGCAAAGAAACAGCCAAGTGGAATGATGAGAGGTGCAGCAAAAAGAAAGCAACTGTCTGTTATTTAGGTGAACACACTTGATAAAATTAAATATATCAATATTGTGAAGTTTAATTTTAAATAAATTCAAAATAACTTAAATTATAAAGCTTTGTGTAATATAACAAATGATAATGTACGTCAATAATGATTATTTCAATGGCCTTACTGTCGTAAAAGTAGCCTATGTAAATAGTTTTCATATGGCGTATTCGATTTTCATATTTCATATGCATGTTTATTGCTTACATAAACTTTAGTTTATACTTGTGGGGACAATTAATTATTTTTAAGAATGTTTAGTACATTTGGAGAGGTTATTTGCTGTTTAGTGCACATTAACTGCTGTTGAATAATAAGTGTACAATGTATCCAGTTCTGATTGAAACCTCAGCCCTCATTTGTGGTCATTGCATCTTTATTTCTTGTTTGCAGCCTCTTGTTCAAAGGAATCCTGCAGTGAGCATGCTGAGTGTGTGGAGACTATTGGCAACTACAGATGTCAATGTCACCTGGGTTTCATGGGCCCACGCTGTGAGGAAGGTGCAGTTGAATCGATCCAAGTTTAAATATTTGGTCTTCATTGTGTGCATTTTGTAACTAAGTTACCATTTTCACTTTTGCAGTTGTCCAGTGCTGGCCAATTGAAAATCCACAGCAAGGTTTTGTGAACTGTGACGGTGTCTTTGGAGCATTTCATTTTAACTCGTCATGCCAGTTCCGATGTGTCACAGGGTTCAAGCTGGAGGGGTCACAGAGGCTACGCTGCCTGGCATCAGGGCATTGGGATTACACTCTTCCTGTTTGTCAGGGTACGGTTCAGAATATGTTGCCACACCCTCAGAAAAAAGGTACAAATCTGTCAAGGGTGGTACCTTTAAAGTACTGATATGTACTATTTAGGTGTAAATAAATTAGCTTTTGCACTTTAAGATACTGCCCCGGCCAGCTTTGTACCTTTATTTCTGAAAGTGCATGCATGAATTGTACAGCAGTGACTATAATACTTACAGCTTGATAAACTAAAAAATAAGTAAATTATTATTTGATTGCTGATATGTTTAAAACATGTTACCCTTACAGCTGTCCAGTGTCTGCCCATTATTGATGCTCCAGGTGGTTGGAGTATGAACTGCACTCATCCCCTTTCCATTAATAGCTTCAACTCCAGTTGCGAGTTCAAGTGTGAGGAGGGATTTGAGCTCAAGGGCTCTAGTACAACCTGGTGCGACCAGACTGGGCAATGGACACACAAACCCCCCACTTGCACAGGTACAGCACCTCTGCAGAACAATCCTCACTCAATCACCAGGCAGTTCCTGGTTCATACAAGTGCACTGAATATGCATGTAGACCTGACTTAAAAGTTTTTTATTAGTGCAAAGGAATAGTGCACTTCCCTTCCTTTCTTGCGAAAATTTTTTATTTTAATGTTGGGTAACACTGCTAAGACACACCCTAGAATTGCACAGACTGTAAAAAACACTGTTTTCAAGCATTTTTTTTCTGTGTTTGAATAGACAGTAATTAGTTTTTTATGCATTTGTCGCAGTGGTGACCTGTAATGGCATCCTAGCTCCTGCAAAGGGTCATCTGACATGTGCTGATCCTTTGGGAAAGTACTCTTTTCGTTCTACTTGCAATATTTCCTGTGTTGAGGGACACAAATTGAGAGGAAAAGCCACACTCAGCTGTCTAAGTGATGGCAATTGGTCAGCACCAACACCTGATTGTGAAGGTACATCATTTCATACATGATTTCTCAGTGTCATACATAACATTGATATTTCCATCACAATGTGAGCTCTGGAAAATGCCAATATGCCCTAAGTGCACTGCAAATATCATAAACAATGCTGTTCTACACTCACACATACTCAATTAAGTCAATAATCTGTCTTGTCTGTACTATTCTCTTCTAATTTTGGCAGTTGTAAAGTGTGACCCATTGAAGCCCATTCCACATGGCTCCCTGCAATGTTATGACCCTGTGGAGAAGTTTGCTTATGGCTCCACTTGCTGGTTAAAATGTGGTTTTGGTTTTGTCCACAATGGTACAAATTCCACTCACTGTACCGAACAGGGGAACTGGAGTCCCATCCCTCCCGTTTGCCAAGGTAAAATGCATCTTTAACAATACATATACATACATACACATATCTTCAGTTCATACTGTAGTTCCAGCAAAATCAGTTTATCAGATGCTTCGGGTTTTTCCACAGCTATACAGTGTTCACCTCTCTCTGATGCACCAAGTTATGGAAGTATGACCTGCACACACCCTCTCTCCACCAACAGCTACAATTCCAGCTGTGAGTTCAAGTGTGAAGAGGGTTTTGTGCTTAAAGGTGCAGATTCCACCCAATGTGACCATACTGGGCACTGGACACATAGCACCCCTATTTGTACAGGTTTGGCATCAGTTCATATCATTTTGATTGTCCTAATAGCATTAAACTATATGAAATGTCATTTATTAGTTTACCTATCATTAATTCACGTTTTATATTACATTTTATGCATTTTCCAGAGTTTTATATCATTGTATCCATGTACAGTTTAGTCAGTTTATGCATTCCCTGTGAATCAGTCCCATGACCTTGGTACTGCAAGCAGTAGTTGCTGCTTTTTGTGCAGCAAATGTCACAAAATGGCAACTAACTTATTTGTAAAAATAAAATGTAATATATATATACTTCTAATTATATTGTATTATTCTTATAAATATAATAAAATAATAATAAAATATATTTTAATATATTTTATTATTGCTCTATACACACTATGCATGATCAGACTAGGGGGTTTCAGAATTTTTTTAATGATTTAGAACAAATGAAAAGTTTATCACTGATCTCATTCAAATTTAAGCTGTGGCTTGTGACCCTCTCGTGACCCCTGCAAAGAGCCACCTGACCTGTGCTGATCCACTGGAAAAGTTCTCTTTTCGTTCTTCTTGTAAAGCTACTTGTGAGGAGGGATACACACTGAGAGGAGAAACCACACTCACTTGTCTGAGTGACGGCAACTGGTCAGCACCAACACCTGCATGTGAAGGTACTGTAGGTTTAACTATATTTCAATAAAACAATCTTTAGTTTAAACCCTTACATTTTTACTTTAAACCATTGCACCATTTGGAATGTGCAAACCTTGTGTCTTGCAAACATATTTTTTTGTTTATACGCTCTTATGCTGTTTCCATCTTTTCAGTTATAAGATGTGATGCTCCGGAGTCTGTTCAACATGGCTCTGTGCACTGTCAGGACCACCTGGGGGAGTTTAGCTATGGTTCCTTGTGCTGGCTGGAGTGTGGAGCTGGATTTACTTTAAAAGGAAGTAATTCTACTTACTGCACCTCACAAGGGAAATGGAGCCAAGAATTTCCTGTT